GTTGGGGTTGGCGATCTCATCTGGGATCTCGGAGGCTGTCTGCATTGTCTCCGGTTGGTTATTGGGATGTTGCTGGCTTGCTGGCTGAGGATCCGGAATGGTCTGCTCCTCGTGCATCTTGTTGGTCGGCATGGTGAAGAATTGGATGATCGACTTGTTGGTCTATCAGCCGGGCAACTTCTTCTATGCTACGTCTGTCACTGCGTCAGCCACTGAAGAGAAGCGCTCTGGGTGGGTGCGGGAAAGGGTAGGGGCGGACTTCACATGATTGCATGATGTGCATGATCAAAATCACACTTCACTGCGGGACACGGGGCTTGGGGAGGAAAGGTTTGGGGACCTCAACGACTGCAATCCGTCACTGCGCATCATGGGCACTTGCTGGCGGTCTTTGATATTGATTTTGCTGTGGTACTTCGAGTCATCTATGCACAAACGTCAGCATGTCTGGGTCGTGGGCTTGGTAGAGGGCGCGAAGTTCTCGGAGTTGTTGTAGACGAACCGGCTCGGGGTACGCTATCTTTGAGATCATGTGGCGTCTCGTTCGGTATGCACTGACGGTGGACCATAGGTGTGGATCCCCGTGGCGAAAGGAGCTGGTGTGTCTGTGAGGGGAGAATGAGGCGAACTTCTTTGCGGTGTAGGTTGATGTTGCATCCGAGGTAGTTGGCTTCTTCTTGTTCTTCCAACGCCCAACTTTGTGGCAGGATGCAAATGCGGTCGTCAACATATCTCTTGGCGAAGCGGTCGAGAATTGCGCATGATGCCAAGGCTATGCGATATGTCTCATGCCATTGATGTTCTTCGACACAACAGACCATGTGGCACAACACCGGTGACATTGGGTGTCCCATTGGGCTGCCTCTGGTCTGCTTGTATACTTGTTGTTGGGAGGTGAAGTAGCTGCACTTCAGGACGTACTGAGTGATCTCCCAGATGTCGTGCATGTAGATGGTGCGTCGACCATGGTTGATCTGCTTGTACTTCCCATTGAACGTTCTGGCCGTCCTAAGCGTCTTTTTGGGGTCGTAGGTGATGGAGACGTCCTGCCATGTGTCAAAGCCGTGCTGGGAGTTGGCGAAGTACTTGTCCATGGTGATCATGAGGGCTTGGAGGATACGTTCCTGTGGGACACTGGTGAAGAAGCCCGCGAGGTCCGCGATCTGCATGTGCATGTCCGCGTTGTTGTAGTTCATGAAGGTGTGAAGTTCCTTGAAGATCTTGTAGGAGTTGTCCTGTTGCAGCGCTTGGGGGAAAGAGATGTACATGATGTTGGTGATGATCTTGGCGACCGTGGAGAAGAGCTTCTTGGCGAAGTGCTGGGCGAACGAGACAATGGGCCGTGACTTGATGAAGCCCTTCTTGCGCTTGGGGAAGATGTAGGACACCGGGACTTTGTCCTTGCGGTTTGGGTTGATGCCCCAGGCGTATCTTGTCTTGATGTTTTGGGGAAGTTGTTGCCACGCGTTGTGCGCCGCTGTGGTCGGGGTGATGTTGATCTTGGTGAAGACTTCAGGGTCGCCGTACATCTTGTCCATGAGCTGTTGGAAGTGGAGGGGGCAGTGCGCTAGCATCTTGTGGGGATGGTGGTCCTCGCACGCGATGATGTAGTCGCTGTACTGGGTTTTGAGGCTTTTGACCATGTGGTGGTTCACGTGTTCCTCCTTCACGTTGTGGCTGAGCTGTGCCGCCGGGGCAAGGGCGAGCTGCACGGCCTCCCTGGATGGGATGGAGAGTCCATTGCGTCTGCACCATTTTCGAACATCTTCCGTCGTCTGCGAAATCCAAGTATCTGGTTCCGGGAAGGTGCCCGTCTTGGACGAGTAGGTGACGATGTGGTATAGAGGGTCTTCTGGTGATGCGTGTGCGGTCTGAAGGTCGATGACTTGATGTTCACTGAGTTCCTGTGTGGGGTTGGGGCAAGTGCATCTTCTCGTAAGTTTCGGTCCAAAACACATTCGCTGCCAGTTGTGGCACTGGGCCTCGATGCTGGATCCTGGTTTGGCTACCACCGTGGTCTTCGGAACATGTAGTGGGCATAGTTCGTGGTAGTGGCTCGCGATGATGGCGCGTAGAACTTCTCGGAGATGGCGTTGGCATTCTTCCATAGGTGGCAGCAAACTGGTGACGAGGGGTCTTATGTTAGGGGTCTCCATATGTCTCTTGTCCAGTGCCTTGACCAATGCTGCCTTGCAGAACTCCTTGTATGGGGATTCAAGGATGTTGGTCATTCGTAGTAGCGTGTATATGTTCTCGGCCGGGAAGTTGCTGCTCATCAACGTTCTGGTGGTTTTCCATCGCAGAGCCGTGGTGGAGCACAGGGCGGTGAGGAGGCCCCACATGCGCGTTTTGGTGTCTATCTGTACCTTGACGGCTCGCCAAGGTCTAGTTTTCCTGCCTAGGTGTCGATGTAGTCGGGCACGTAGTTTGGTTGCCAGCACGTTGACGTCGCAAATGATCTTGGGTTGGAAGGTGTGGCCTGTGTCTTCTTTGAAGTGTTTGTAGATGAAGGGGGCGTTGAGGGAGGGTTGGAGGTCCGCGATGTCTGCCTGCTCAATCATGTGCAACTCTGCCACATCGTCAACGCTGCGGACTTTGATCGGAACGAACTCCCAATATGTGTTGGTGGTGTGCCAGTAGTGTATGGCTGGTTCTGCGTTGACCAGTTTTTGAGCGGCGAGTGCGTTGTGTTTTCTGCGTCGGTTGTCTTCTCTGACTGTGACTTTCGTGGAGGTGCTGCCAATATAGAGGTGCTCAAACATGCGTCCGTGGTCGACTCTCCAGTACACTGCGTTCGGCTGATTGAAAAATTCGAATGTGTAGACCTCCGGGGTGATACGGTGAAACTGCTTGAGGCGTACCAGTCTGCGTCGATCTACTTGGCGTCGAGGAAAATGGCAAAGAGCGGTGAGCCAAAACTTGCCGTAGAGCCAAGTGGAGTATCTGTGTAAGAAAGGTATGCGGTGAAATGTGTATTGGACCACGCTCTTCGCGATGTCCATGCACTTCACCATGGAAGAGTGTATGCGGTTGAGTCGTCTGGAGGGTTGCTGCATTGTGAGTAGGGTACCTAGTCAATGTAGGTATGAAGCGAGGCCTGCCACCACGATAGCGACTGCTGCCGTCCCTGCTGTGTTGGTGAGCTTGGGAAGAGACCAGGCCTTCACCATGTCCTGGTATGCCTGATCTTTTGGATGCGCCTCCGCATACACCGTGAGTCTCTTGGCAATTTCTTTCTGGGCCTGTAGTTTAGGTCCAGACATCTTGAGGGTGGAGATCCAGGTGGTTGCTGACGGGGCCGCGTATCTTGATAGCGAGCTGGTGAGTTCATGTACTTGTCGGATCTTGTCCATTTTGGCCTTGTCACCTGCTTCTCGCTTCGGAGCTATGCCGCTAAGATACTGGATGAGTTCTTCGTCGTCGAATGCGTTGACGATGTCGAGGAGGACTTTGTTTTGTCTGCCGCCTGGTGATTCGAACGGGCGGCTGGATGCTGGTTCACCTGTAACCGGAGATCTTGGGCTGGGGTGGTAGGAGGGTGTGGTGATGCCTCCAATGAGGTTGGGGTCCAACTCGTCTTCCACGGTAGGCGGGTGGGGGTGAAGTGGGGGAGGGGGTTGAGGTGCTTGTTCGGCTGCTTCGGATGCTATCGGTTGCGATACTTGGGCGTCGTCGGCGTCGATAACCTGCACAAGGTCGTGGGTGTTGTCCTGAGCGCACGGATCTCGGTGTGGATGTGGTTGTTTACCGGATGATGGTGAAGTCTTGCTGGTGCCTGTTTCGAAGAAGTTGGGCATCTGGGTTTGGGTAGGTGGGATGATGCCCTGCGGGAAGGGTGTCTTGCGGCTCTGACTTGCCAGCTGTGCGCGCAATCCTGCTATCTCCGCTTCTTTCTGTGCTAGTTGGGCACGTACTTGGGGTTGTACAGCGGGGGGATTGTTGTAGCGCATGAGGAGGTCTCCAATGTTGGCGACGAGCATCTCCATGGCTTCCTTCCGTTGGGCTTCAGAGGGCAGCATTTCAGTACCGTTCTTCCACTTCCAATAGTTGACTGCGATGGTCTCGATGCGAATGTTGCGGTTGCGGATGAAGGTGGAGAGTTTCATGTGAAACACGGCATCGGGTAGTGACTTGTGGCCTTGGAACTGAGTCCATCTTCCGTTGGCGAGTTGTCGCAACATATAATTGTGCTTGCCCTCGAAGGCCACTTGCCAGAGTTTTATGTCGAAAGGATCCATACCTGCCGTGCCATTTTTCTTGGCCGATGACGTGGCATTCTGGGCATCTGGACTCCTCCATACTGGTTTTTGTCGTAGAGCAGCTCGGTGGAATCCCAATGGTCTGGGAGGTCATTGTTGGGCTGGTGGAAGATGTCCTGGAGCATTTTCTTGGCGCGTTCTTTGGGGTTAGGGCGGGCTGGGGTAGGGGCCGAAGATTGAGTAGATTGGATGGGAGAGTTCCCGTATATCGGGAGTCGCTGATCGTGACGGTGGCGATCTCGTCGTGGGTTGTACACCGAATCTTGTCCGTGATGAAGAGGCGTGTGGGACGTTGTGAATGTGGATCTGGGGGTCAAAGTTGGTCCCGAGCTAGGACGTGGGTTGGAGTGGAATGTGCGCGTGGATCTCGGTGATGCCGACCTAGTGCGATGCCTCCTAGATGGTCTTGGCGTGCTGAATCTTCTGGGTGATCTGGATCGTCTGGAACGATTGCCTCGTCTGTGTGAGTCTGCATGCCATTGAGCATGTCGTTGATCGTGGCGATCACGTCTGTCTGCCATGGCGTGGGGGTCTGGGGATGCTGAGATGTTCAGCTGTTAGTGAAGAAGCCTACGTGAGGCACGCAACGGCTGTGTCAGGCGCAAGAAACACTACACTTGCAGAGGCAGCGTGTTCCGAAAATTGCATGCAGGATGTGAGGTGCATATGGCTGCAACTTCTCTCAACGGGTGCATGTGGCTGAGCTCGTTCCATCGTGAAACTGTCGTTGCTGGGACTTCATCACTTCACATACTTCCATTGATGTTGGCCTGCTTCTTGGTCAACGGTGGTGCGTCGTTGAAGTTCTAGTAGAGCTTGTCGTTGGTTGATGAAGTCCGTCCATTCCTCCTGGGTTGGCGTGGCCTGCGCTTGATTCTGCTTGATGTCTGGATCCTCTTGGAAGGCTGTAGGTGTTCCCGATACCGCCAGCCACGTGGTTTGATGTACATGTAGAGCTTGGTGACGTTGGATTTGGCCTGATATCTTCGGGTGTGTCCAAAAGACCGAGTGCGTCCTGGGGTGTCCGATGACTGCAAGGGGTAGAGACAGCCATCTGAACGAGGAACTGGATGCCGTAGTGGTTTGGAACCAGGCCCAGTCCAACTGTGTCTCCATCACGCTGCTGGCCGGGATTGCTAACATTGGCGTTTGTCCTCCTGGACTCAGTCGGTGAAATTTGCCAATCAAATCAGGCCGGCTTGTCCGCTTGGCGTCGAAACCGTCGATGGTGTGGCAAGGGTCCGCAAAGGTGAAGATGAGTGGGTCCCAAAGTCGATGTAGTACATGTGCTGCTTGGGTGGAGACTTGAACTGCGTGGATCTGTTGGGAGGTGAGGGGTAAGGCGAATCTCGGTGTCCATACCATGGTGGGCAGTGTGTCGCTGTGGAGGTGGTCGATGGTGAGTTTGGTGCGGATGTCGGAAGTGGAGGGTGGCGTCCATCTGGTCGTGTGGGTGAGCTTCTGAAGCGTGTCGGTCCATATGTTGGTTGACCAGTGGTCCGGAATCTGGAACGTGTTGGTTCCCTGAAGGCATTCTGTGTGGGAATCGATGCTGGGCCATGTTCTGTGGAGCTGTAGGTCATGGTGAGCCTTGCGGAAGACTATGTTGCTGACCGCCTGCATGGTCATGATGCCCGAGATGGTGTTGTACTTCGCAAGCATCGGCTGGTGGAAGGGTGGCGTAGTACTATGGAGCACCACGCAGAGGTCTTGTATGGGCGGAAGCAGGGGTACCAATCCTGCCGTGCTGGGTAGGACGTGTGCTGACCAGACTCTGTGGAAGTGAGTGCAGGTCTGCTCCAGCCTGCCCATAGTTCTGGGATCTGCGAAGTTGTGTGTGAACATCCAGAGTTCCGGGTTCACACTTCGGAATTTGATGTAGCCCCAGTGCCAGAGCTGATAGATGTTGGGCATTGTGGCCAAATCTGGGCAAGTGCCTTTGCGTACGAGCATCCTAAACTGTATGGCTGTGAACTGTAGGATGTGAACTGCAGCGGTTCCTGATAGAATTTCGTGTAGAAGGGCACGTAGTCGTAGGTGTCGGGGCTTGGGTTGGGGAATGTCGACGGAGTCGGCGTAGCGTGCCATCTGGACGTGGGTGGATGCGTCGTCCTTGTATTGGTCCCAGGTCATGAGGATGCTGTTTTGAAGTTCTTGTTGGAGTGAGGGGAACTTGTGCACCAGCTGCTTCGGGAGGAAGGTCATGCGGTTGGGGAAGAATCGAATGACGGGTGTGCCGTCCTCTTGGAGTTCCCAATGGTGTGGTTCAACCGGAGGTAGCATGTGAACAAGTTCCGGTCGAATCGGTCGTCTCCACCACTGCGGCTGCACTTTCTCTATCTGATCCACTGGTAGAACTGGGCGTAGCCGGCCTTGGTCGTGATGTTGTGTGACGGATTGCGCGTCCACAGCTGGTTCAAGGCTGTCGAGCAGTTGTTGCAAGCTGCTGACGTGCATGCCCATCGTGTGGACACCAGGGTTTCGAAGTGGCGACCTGGATCTGTCTTCTCTGTGACGCCGTTCTTCGGGAGGAGGTACTGTGCGGTCGGGAGGTACGGGAATGTGTGGGAAGGCTCCAGTGTGCCAGGTTTGTAGGTCTCTGACAGGTTGGTCCGTGTCCGCATAATCCATGGACATGCCGGTGGCGTGGTCCTGGGGTGGTGTTTGTCGATTCGGATACCATCTCTGGAATTGGTTCGCATGGTCTTGTGAGGAGGTTGGAGGGGGAAGGGTATGGGGCATGGAACCGTGGTTTTCCGCGGAGGCAAGAACTCGACCGGGTTTGATTTCCATGTCTTGTAGTCGTCCTTGGCCGATTATCTCGGGGTAGTCGGTCTGCACCGCTCGCAATCTGGATTGGTGCAGTATCTTGGCCTTCATGGTTTGCTGTCGAAATCTGTTGACGGTGTTGCTGATGCCCTCGTCAGTGGTGCTGAGCATCTCCATGTACTTGGATGGGTGCAAGTTGGTCGTCCATGGTCTGGCTGGCATCGACGACGTGTCCGTGATGATGGGGGTGTCATCCTCCTCCACGATACTCACCAAGAGTGCTTGCCATCTTTGTAGTATTTGGGGTCCTAGTACTTGCACAACCTGATGATCGGCGACTTGTCCGCTTAGCCAGCGGTGAAGGGCGTGCTCCATATCTTCTGCCGGATCCATGATGAAAGTGAGCGTCTAATGATCCGTTATGGTCAAGAGCAAAACTGCATGCGAAATGCAATCAGCACTAACGACACTTAAAGGCGGCCAGAGCATGTCTCTCAAGGTCAAGGTCTAACGCATCACAGCAGTGCACGAATTCACTTGACGCGTGATTTCATGTGCCGAAAAGAAAAGACAGGCTGATTCATCTGTGACGCTGTACTACATGCATCCGATTGCAATCCGTAACTGGCGCACACATTGGGCTAAATGCATAGACCTCGGTGTAGATATTTCAAACAGTTCGGAACTGCAGAGTGATGTGTGGTGGGGTGGGGGTGCACTTCATCCAATCTGCGACCTGTTCCGCTTGATGCCTTCCATTTTGACATGCTGTGATTAACGCGCTGGTGCCGCACGAGTGAGGGTTCGTGAAGGTGAAAAAGAAATCGTCACTTTGCTCTTCACGATGAGGAAGAAGGATTCGCCAGCTCAGGTAGTTGTCAACGTCGTTGTCCGCGGTCATTGTCTCGGGATCTGTTGGGAACTGGAGGTGGTGTGGTGGGTGAGGGTCTAGGGTGGAAGACGTTGATGGTGATCCCGGTGATCTCAGCGTACTGTGCATCAATGACGCTCTTCTCGGTGTGGGAGAAGACGGTAGTGAAGTTGCGACTGGCTCGGCTGGTGTCGTTGAAGTGTGCCTCGATGAGCGCCTTCTGAGTCGTCCATCCTCCTCCCTTCTGCCGCATGTGGCTATGCTGGGAGGTGGACGATGTGACGCGTCCAAATATGGTGAAACCTGTGGCTATTTCTCGTTCGGCAGGACCTGCTCTGGCTTTTGGAAGGCGGAGGGCTTTGCGGAGGTTGGTGTGGCAAAATCCGAGTTGGAGGTTGTCGGGTGCGTTGTCTTGGTGGAATCCGTTGAACCCACGGTGGGGTAGGTATGCTTTGTTGTAGGGGAGGTTGTCGTCATCCCAATTGGTGGGCTCCCAATTCGTGGGTCTGACGAAGCCCTCGCGCAGGATGTGCCATAGGCCTGCTTCATCGGTAGCGTGTGACCAATATGCCTTGTAGGCGCCCTTGTGCGTGGGAGGTGATGGACTGTTGGCATCGTGTGCGTGCGGTGGAGGCTTGGTGGTGCGTAGTGGTATGACGAGGACCTGTACCAGTGGGTAGTCGGTGGTGTCCTGTTTGTTGCTGTAGGGGTCGACGTGGATGAGCTCCGGGTGGATCACCGTGTCCGTGCTGGGGTGAGTTCTGAACTTGCCGAGGAAGGGCGTGATCTTGTAGTGAGAGCAAGCGAAGGATCTTGCCACTTGGCGGATGGCCATCTGTGCTGGGTTGGAGAGCCAAAGGGGCTGTCCTTGGGTGAGGTTGGCGATGTCGTGCATGATGTCGTTCATGTACCGGACGCCTGTGCTGGAAGGGTCCATGGGCGGTGGTGGGTCTTGTTGGTGGTACATCTCGGACACACACGCGAGCCTGTAGGGGTCCGCCAAGGCGTCTTGGTAGAGCATCTTCATGCGTCGACGTTCTTCAGGTTTGAAGCCTGATTCGGTTTCTGGTCCTGCATTGTGTGAAGTGGCTTCTGAGGGTGCTTGGGGTGGTCGGGATGAGGAAGCAGGTGTGTCTCTGTGGGTCGCCGTGTGTGAAGCAGATCGGTGGAGCGCGGGGGTGAGAACAACGGTCGTGCCTCTGCGCCTGGTGCTGCTTGGGGAGGGGCTGCGTTGGGATGGTGTTGGTTGGGATGTCCGGTGATGATGAACCGGAGAAGAGCGCCTTCTCGATGTTCGCGATTCGGCTTCTTCCGAGTGTCGACGTGTGGATCTGGATCTTCTTGGACTGCGTGGCCGTCTGGTTCTGTCTGTCTGGTGGGGGTCGTTGGGTGCGGGGCTGTGGGGTGAATGGGAGATGTGCGTGTGTCGCGTAGATCTGGTGCTCCTGGGGTGGGCTGGGCTGGGCTCATAGGTGGTTCGGCTGCGACTTCGGGTGTGGTGTGTGGTAAAGGACTCTGCTCTGTGTTGGTCGCCAGGATGTTGTAGTTGCGTTGGGGCGACTCTGGCATGGGACTGGAGTAGCGGTGCCACGACTTTCTCAATCATGCCTGTGATGCACGTTAACATCTCCGTCATCTGGGATGGTGTCGTCATCGACGTGGTTTGGGAGGGTGGTTCTGGGGCTTGACGAGGTGGTTGATGTTCTCCGTGATGAACAGGTTGGCCTCTTTGATGGTCATCTTGTTGTGTGTCAGAAATCTGGGTGGGCATAGATCGCTGAAGTGCCGGAAATGGTCTGGACTGTGACAAAGGCTCCTGTCGTGCTGCATCTCGCTGCGGATCTCGGTGAGCATATACTTGAGTGGGGTCTTGCTGAGATCTGCGTCCTTGGTCTGGGTGTTGTGTGTCAACTGGAGCATCTTGTTGACGTGGCTGGCCGTGTTCTGCTGGATCTCGATGTGCACAGGCGCCAGGGGTATTTAGTAGGGAGATGGGGTAAGGTCCTTCTCGAACTGGAGGATGGGGCTCTGCTTGCGCGAACACGGGATGATCTGCTCGTTGTGGAACATTCATTTGTTGCTGAAGATGGTGTGCTGGCCGAGGTGTGGCTTGATTCCATTCTGGTCGACCCTGAGGAGGGCTTTGTTGTTGATGGTGGTGCGCAAGGTCTCGAGGATGGTGGTCTGGTCGTATATCTTGGCCTTGATGATATTGCTGACCATGCTGAAGATACGGAGGTGGGTCCGGATTCTGCCAATGACTTGCGGCCTGGGGGTAGGAGTGAGGTTGTGGATGTAGAGGTGTTGGGCGTACTTCCGGGTGATCGCTGCGACCATGTTGTTGAGGACTGGCATGTTGGTGGTGAAGATGGATGTTCTGGTTGGTCGTCGGTGAATGTGGGCCCGTCGTTTGACTCGAAGGTGCGTATCCTGCTGCATCATCACGACGATGCGTCGGAGGGCCGAACTGCATTTGATCCAAAAACGCGGCTGGTGCTATCCATTGTGGCCGTAGGGATGCTGCATCCTGGTAGGGTGGCCACTGGTATTGAGCGTGTACTCCTCCGGCTGGTGGGTGTTGATTCCATCGACCTTGCCATCCTTGATCGTCTCCTGGGTAATGTGCCGTCGGGTGTGGCGTCTCGGGAGGAGGAGGAGGAGGATGTGCTTGATAGTCTGGTGGTGGAGGAGGAGGAGGCGGCTGCCGCTGCCAACTTTGTTGGTACCACTGGTAGCCGTCCATGGTGCGAGTCCGATGTAGCTGGGGTACGAGCTACTCACTACTCTGACCTATGAAACCATTACGGCAAAGATATAGCAAAAAGAATGTTGCTAACCTCTCCGGATGCTGGGTCAGGACTAACAATCGAGGAACATACGGCACGCCGGCCGTCTTGCTGGGCATCGGTGGCACCCACATTAGTGGGCCCGGCATGTTACTAGTGCACGAAAACAATAGTACTTTGCATTCTCACTCGCCAGGTGAGCTCACATTTTTGGATTATCCTATGCGTCCGCACCGAAGTGAAGACTAACATAGGCAGCATGAACGCGTAGGAGCGAGGCTCCACCTACACCCGCGGCCCAAGGCGAGGGCGGGCTGGCTGTAAAACACACTTTTTGTTTTAGTGTTCCACATATTCATGTAGTTGGAGATCTGCTGGAGAAGGACATGCTCAATCAAGAGGTAGTGGATGAGCTCGTGAGTGATGAGGTAGAAGGGTCGCGAATGGATGTTTATATGACATATCATATAGGGTTTAGGGTCTGCGGCAAACTGTGCTCATCACGCTCCGATGCTCTACAATTCACACTCTGATGCTCCGCAGTTTATGCTCACCCAATTCTGCTCATCACGCTCAGATGCTCTGCAAGTCATGCTCCGATGCTCCACAACTCATGCTCACACAAGCTTGCTCACCACGTTCAGAAGCTCTACAATTCATGCTCTGATGCTCCACAGTTGATGCTCGCACAATTCTGCTCATCACGCTCAGATGCTCTGCAAGTCATGCTCTGATGCTACACACTTCATGCTCCCGCAACTCTGCTCATCGCGCTCCGATGCTCCACAGTGCATGCTCATATGCTCTAACACTCATGTTCCGAACCTTCTCCATGCTCTCGTCCATGTTCATGCTCGTTCGCTGGACATGCTCCGACAACATGCTCAGAAGACATGCTCATGCATCACATTCCAGTCAAGCTTGATGGGCTCGAGGTCTTCTGGGGTTTGGGGTATGTCATGCTCACGGCACCAAGAATTCACCCATGCTCAAATACCAAATGTCCAAAATGAAAATCTCGTTCGTGAAGGACTGGTTGAAGCAACAGCGATGATGCACCATGCACAGCTTGCGTTACAGGATGTCTAAGACAATCACGCAGGTACACAGTTGGACGTCTCCAACTGCTTCACCACGAACCATGGGCGTCTTTGTTAGCAGGAGACCCATGGCCGTGCTCCTGCCCCCTGCTGAATATCATGTGCAAAAACTTGTTAGATCGCAAATTCGTGCTTCTTTTCGCTCTCGTATGCAGTGCTTGTTGACGTTCCCGCATGTACAGCGGTGTGCCACACACACACACACACACACACACACACACACCCATGCACGCACGCACGCACGCACCCACCCACGAATGCACGCACCCACCCACGCACCCACCCACGCACCCACGCACCCACCCACGGATAGGCAGGTCACTTGTGACTTCTGTCGGGTGTCACTTGTGACTTCTCGAGAGGCGACTCGCTTGTGACTTCTCTCGGGTGTCACCTGTGACTTCTCTAGCCAGCAACACCTCTCAGCAAAAATGCATGAGGAACCTCCATCAACCGGCACATCCAGCGTTTTATTCCCAATTTCTTTTCCAGGAATAACCTCCTGACTGCCAGACGCTCCATCCACCAACTCTTCCGCAGCTGAAACACCACTCCCTTCCACATTGGGAATCATCTTGTCCGGACTCACAGGTTTTACCGCTGCGTCACCCTCAGAAAGCGCTTTGCCCTTTTCCTGATCCAGGTGCTCTCCAGCCATATTCATCTGCAATCCGAGAACCCGAGGTCCCAGGAGCTTCACCACCCCTTAGACCGCTATCCCCAACGATAGAGGAAAATTCCCTTTCTACAGCACTATTTACACTACCCTGAGAAGCAGACTCAGATGAGGACCTCCGCGTCATAGAACCCAGTGCATTGGGACAGAAACCTTGTTCTTCCCTTTTTCTTTTGCCGAAACAGTATCCTTCTCATCCGCTGTCACCTTTTCAGCAGTGTGCTCGAACCCTTCCGGGCATTCCCACTGAGTCCTCCCAGTGACGATGTCGTAGTAGTAAGTCCGACCCATCGAAAAATGCATCTCCCAGACGGCGTCAATCTTAGGCGCCTCTCTGGCTGAAGCGCTCGACGAAGGCTAAGGTCTGCAAGTAGCTAGTGCCGAAGATCCAGGTCTGCAAGCCGCTGTCAACCTGCATCTCTCCCAAACCTTGGTTGAAGCGCTCGCCGAAGGTCAAGGTCGGCAAGTCACTACTGTCGGAGGCCAAGGGCTGCGAGCCAATGTCAATCTGCACCTCTTCCAAACTCTGGTTGAATTGCTCGCCGAAGGTCAAGGTCTACAAGCCGTTGTCAACCTGCACCTTTTCCGAACTCCGGTTGAAGCGCTCGCCGAATGTCAAGGTCTGCTGGTCGCTACTGCCGACGCACCTCTTCCAAACTCTGGTTGAAGTGCTCGCCGAAGGTCAAGGTCTACAAGCCGCTGTCAATCTGCATCTCTTTTAACTGTGGTTGAAGGCCTACAAGTCGCTGCTGCTGAAGGTCAAGGTCTACAAGTAGCTGTCAATCTGCATCTCTTCTAGTGCACTAGCTCTCCCTCAGTCTTCGGGCACCTCGTGCTACCTCTCCCCGCTAGCACTCGGACCACTTCTTTTTCCTTCGGAGGTGGACTGATCCCACATCTTAGCTCGGAGGCCGATCCACCTTCGGTGGGTCGGGTCCCCCCAGGGTGGGTTGGGTGGGCACTTTGAAATTGCCCCCCCAAATCTTTTGGGGTCTCTTTAGCCAAAACGGCCACATCATATCTACATGTGGACTCTACTTAGCCCTCTCGGCGCCTCCGCACCTCGGGGCGACCCCACAATTTCAAAGGTAGCTCAGTTACAATCCTGAGCCTTCTTCCTGTTGGCTTCTTAGCCCATCTCTCAGAACCCCTTCGGTGGGCTTTAGCCTCAACAGACCTCTCTAAAAACACCTTCGATGTTTTTAGCCTATTTCTAGGAATCGAGCTAGCACACACGGTCGTAAACTGCACGCTGTTCACGAGTGCGTGCACTAGCTCTCCCTCTAGTCTTCGGGCACCTCGCGCTACCTCTCCCCGCTAGCACTCGGACCACTTCTTTTTCCTTCGGAGGTGGACTGATCCCACATCTTAGCTCGGAGGCCGATCCACCTTCGGTGGGTCGGGTCCCCCCCCAGCGTAGCCCTTTCGAGCTACCAGGGAATCTAGCTTTCGTGTCCTCTTTGGGCGAGCGCCCCGGCTTCGACCCTTTCGCTCGCTACGGATTGCTAAGAGAGCAGTCCGAGCCCTCGTAGTAGCTCTTACAATGCACAGATACTTGTCCAAACTCTCCAGTCTACTTTCCCCCGAAAGCTCTATTCGAAACTTGGTGTCGAAGCTAGCGCAGTTTCTCATTTGTCAAGTCGTTGTGTGTTCCGCTAGCTGGTTAGGTCCCTTCTGAGCAACTGTAGCTGGAGCTCCAGTTCTCTTGGCCGCCATCTTTCCTCGGTCTAGCTCCATGAGGACCAAAATCGAAGGGAACTTCGTCGTCATCAGCTTTCGCAGAACGGCCTCATTCGACTTGTTGTCTGTGTAGCCCCGTATCGCTTCCCTCGAGGATTTCCTCTCCTCACTGCACGGGACCCATAGCTTGACCAGGGTCGCCAGGAGCTCCAAGGCGGCGATCACCTTGTTCGGATCCTTCTTAGCAAACGCCCACGGTGCCCAGGCCTCAGTGACTTCCAGCGAGAACCAGGGCCCCGTGCAGCCCGGCACTAGCTCTAGGAAGCCTCCTATCCAAGCTACTCGGCTTTAGCGTCCGTGAAGAAGGACAGGACATTGGAATCGTAGCTCATGGATTCTGGAGCCTGGAGTCTCTCTCCTCCCCCAAGCTTCCCCGCTAGCCATTCCATGAGGATTCGTAGCATAGTGGGCAGCGTGAGAAGCCCCGGCTTCCCCTGGATGGCAGCGGACCAGGCATGGAGAGGCCCCAAGAACGGTCTCTCCCAGTCCAGTGCAGTAGCGGCAAACCCCAGCCGGCCTAGCCCTTGGGACATCTCCTTCGCACTCACCTTTCCGGCGGCCACCTTTTCTCGTAGCCATCCCACTAGCCAGTCGGCCCTTTTCTTCGATAGGCCCAGTTTGTAGCCCACATAGTCCGTCTCCATGCCAGCCACTCCACGCGGAAGCCACCTCGCGTCTTGGCCCACTTGAAGGGGAAGCCCATGGCCCCCAGCAGCAAGTAGCACATGGGGATGCCCTGTCTCCCTCTGGCGTCCAGGCCTAGCACTTCTAAGTCGTCGGCATACAGGAGGAGCTCCAGGCGGTAGCCCTTTACCAGGCGGATCCCACACGCAGCGATCCTGGTCCACCAGTAGCTCGCAGGCGATAGCCCGAAGGTCCCCACCTTGTTGACGTAGACCGGACGGTCCTCACTCTGCGCTAGCCCCGTCTCCTCCTCCACTTGGGCAGGCCATGAATCCGTGCTCGGTAGCTTGGTGTTTGTAGCGGCGATG